CCAGGAACGGGAGGCGCTGGTGGAGGCGCTGGCATCAGCGGGCCGGGAGCGGAGGCAGTGGGAACGTGAGGGGTCCAGGCTGCGGGCCCAGTCAGAGGCCGCCGAGGAACGGATGCAGGCGCTGGAGAGTGAGGGCCGCCAGCACCTGGAGGAGGCTGAGAGGGAGCGCCGGGAGAAGGAGGCCCTCCAGGCGGTAGGTCAGGTCGGGGCTCACAGCTGCGGTTGGGAAACAGGGTTCCAGGCTATTGGGAGTTACTGATTCCATCAGCAGCTGTTCAATGGGTGCCCAGCACCAAGCTGGGGCTGGAGATAGAAAGGCCAAGACCAACCCTGCCTTCCAAAGGTGTGCCTGGCCTGGGGCACAGAGCCATGTCCACTGTGTGATGGGGCACTGTCGGAGGGGGTGAGATTGCCCAGTGCACATCTTGACTGTCTGGCTGCAGCAGTCGACTCACCTCCACTCCAGTCCTCCTTCTGTAAAACAGAGGTGCTATTCCTGGCCAGCTGGGCCCGTCTTAGGGAGGACCTCGGGAGACAGTAGCTGTAAAGGTTCATGCCGGCAAGGGTATGTTGTAAGTGTTCAAGCACTGGTTATTCAGAGCCAACTGCTACGAGAGCCCGTGGGAGGGTGAGCTGATGCCTAAGTGGAGGCAAGGAGGCTTTAGGAGGAGTGACCACAATATCACTAGGTGGGGAGGACATTTTGTCCAGAAGTAATGGCATGTGCAAAGACAAAGGCATTAAAGACGCTCAGGGGCCAGGTGTGGTGGCTCACACCTGTAATCTCAGCACTTTGGGAGGCTGAGGCGGGTGGATTACTTGAGGTCAGGAGTTCGATAACAGCCTGGCCAACATGGCGAAACCCCATCTCTACTAAAAATATAAAAATCAGCCCGGCGTGGTGGCAGGCGCCTGTAATCTCAGTTACTTGGGAGGCTGAGGCAGGAGAATTGCTTGAACCCGGGAGGTGGAGGTTGCAGTGAGCTGAGATTGTGCCACTGTACTCCAGCCTGGGCGACAGAGCGAGACTCTGTCTCAAAACAAACAAACAAACAAACAAACACCATCCAATGAAACAACAACAAAAAAAGAATGCTCAGGGCTCAGGAGGAAGGGGAGATGAGGGCCAGCTTTGAATGTATTGGTCCTGCCTCCCCAGGCAGGGAAAGCCAGTGCAGAACTGTGTGGGGCTAGGCTTGAGGAGGGTCACCTTGGTGGACAAGGGAGCTTGGGGTTATCAGGAGGCAGTGGCCATGGTGTAAGTGGCAGAGGAAGCTGACTAGGGCGGCATGGGAGCGGGGGTGAGAGAAGGACTGGACACTTTTTTCTGTTTGAGACGGAGTCTCACTCTGTTGCCCAGGCTAGAGTGCAGTGGGGCGATCTCGGCTCATTGCAACCTCC